AAATTAAGCAGATGGAGAAAGTTAACTATTTAGAAAACGTGATATATTTTTTTAATTGGTATCTCCCCAATCAATGCAGTACAACAACTAAAACGCGGGATGGGGTGATGCAAAGTGTGGAGGAATTAGGAATAGTAATATTAATGGACAGAAAGACTAATCAGGAGAACAGTAGATAGCGATTGACAGTGCATTTAAATTTTTGCAGATTAAAGTTAGCTGAAAAGCATGGAGCCAGAAGAGAGTTTCACAAGCGAGAAGTGCGAGAAAAGAAAATGTTAGCATAGAACTTACGGCTACATCTAACCAGCTCAAATGTAAGCTGGTGAGATCTCAACGCTTGTCTATTACTGCGCTTAAATTCATAAAGTCTAGGTACCATCCGAACAATTACCAAGAAATTATTTATAAAAAAAAAGGTACAGAGCTTATGGCGGTGGACGTGACTGAAGCCGAGACGCCAGAGCAAGACCAATGATATTGCTTTGGATCTTATCAAGCAGCTCCAGGAAAATAGCAGTGGCACCGGACCATATATGGCAGCAATATTCTAAGCATGGACGAATGGTAGACTTATAGATAAACAATATAGATTCCGGAGAGAAAAATTGTTCACACGACGCAGTAAACCGACTTCCTTCGCAGCTGACCTAGCAATGGATTGAATATAGTCTTTTCTCTTCCTGTCAGCTGAGAACGTCAGCCAGAGAAGGCGCAACGGAGTCATTTCCCTGGAGGTTAGCATCAGCCATACTGATGGAAGACAGAGTGATCTCTCAGATGAGTAATGGAGAGAAGTTTAATTTCGGAGGCGTTATAATTGACAAGCCTTCTTTTGCCCAGTTAACGACGGTCTTAAGGTCGTTTTGTATATTAGCTGCCATTTTGACCTTGTCGGACTGATCAGCCTTAAACGCATTGTAATAACTAAATATACACTTCCAGAAACTATGTTGAGTATTAAGACATGGGGAAAATGTTAGAAAGATAAGAATGCTGAACTTTGTGGGGTGGCGCCGATGAAGTATTTACCAGGCTTAGCTTTTTGTGGAGAGCTCAGTGAGGATCGAACTTCACTGGTAACATCTTGCAAAACGACCATGTTAAACAGTCGCTGTACAATAGGTGACATTTTATTTTTTTTATTTTTTTTATTTTTTTGGCTATTTTATGTTTTAATATTTATAAAGAAATTGCAAATGGTGGTTTAAGTTGATTTTCAATTGCCAAGCGTAATTGAAATGCCTATGTTTTTTATTTATTTTTCTTTTTTTGGTGGGGGGTTATGTCTAAATAGCCGCTTTAATACTGAATATCTATTTACCCACAGTATTATGAACATCGTGTTATGAATAATCAAAAGTGGTCTCCCCTTGTTTTGTTACTCTCCTCTTTGAGAGAGCTATTTCTGTTTACTGGGACTATAAAAGGACACTATACGCGAACCTTGTATTCTCAGTTACTTTTGTTAAATTGTACATATGGGGACTAGTTAGTATTTTCATGGAGACATTGAGGTATTATGGTGGATGTGGTGAGAAAGGTACGTAAAAATGTTGTTTTGGTGCAAGGAATATTGTTTGTATTATTGGGTCAGCGTTTGTGGCTAGCTAAGTTAAAGTTAAGACAGAAGACCGACCTTTTTCCTCTTCCCCGATTCGGCCTTGTGCCACATATTCTGTTAAATTTGAACTAAATAAACTCAGTTACTTTTGTCATTACACATCGTACAAACCACTTTCATATTATTACCGCACAATACGTACTCACTAACTTTGAGCTATGAAATTCAGGGAAAGAAATTTGTCGTCTATAATACGCACTGACATTTTAGACATTGTAGCAAGTCAATTTAACCAAATTTAACATTTGTTGAATTCTTTTATCCAGTTCGTATCTTATAAAGAGTAAGAATTTAGAGTTTACATCATTTTCAAACACAAATTTTTACGCAGTGTTTCGAGCAAACGCACGATCACTCAACGACAAAAGCTTTCCATTATACGTACCTGGATACTGGAAGCCTGCCAGAGAATTCTTGAAAACATCGTCGCAAATTCCTTCGAAAAATACTGCATCATGAACGCAGTGGAACATTGAAAATGACATCGTTTTTGAGGAAGAACAAGATGGCTCTGTGGACGAAGACATTGTCTACGCTGATAAGATCGATGAAACTGTCGTGACGTCTGTTGTTGACACTGGTAACTGTGAAACGAGCAAAAATGTGCTTAATATAGAGATTTTCTAAGCGCTGCTTAAATGTGGCACATGGCCAGAAATATGGAGCACCCAGTGAGAATTGAACTCGATACTCAGTCGTAATATGTTCTAGCGAGACGAGCTTGCTAACCATTACACCACGACGAGGTGCCCTAGAGATTTTCTAAGCGCAGCTTAGATGTGGCACAAGGCCGAAAGTATGGGGCACCCAGTGAGAATCGAACTCACTACTCAGTCGTAAATGTTCTAGAAAGATAAGCTTGCTAACCATTACACCATGCTGAAGTGCCCTAAAATGTGCTTAATATATGTGCATAACTATATTTATTTTGCTTTTTAAACCAAATACATTGTCTTGTTAATTATTTTATTTTATTTTTTTATTTTTATTTTTTTTTTTTTTTTTTTGTTACATATTAGTTAGTATGGACCATATTTTGAGTTATACCTTCGGCACCTGGAGACGGTGTAATGGTTAACAAGCTTGTCTCGCTAGAATAATTACGACTGTAGTAGTGAGTTCGATTCTCATTGGGTGCCTCCTACTTTAGGCCTTGTGCCACATCTAAGCTACGCTTGGAAAATCACTATACCGTCGGGAAAATGTCGAGTTAGGTGACTGGAAAAAAGTTAATATTTACTTCACTTGTATAATAAGCATGTTTTAATTTTTCGGCTTAAAAATCTAGAGGAGGTAAGTGCGTATGACGCTCGAATTATTACGGTATATAACAGATAAATGTATTTAGTTATAGTAAATTTATACTACAATTTTAAATTATGATTCGAATGTCTGAAATGATGCGTTGTCAGTTATTATTAAATTTTGACGATTATTCTTCAGTATTGTTCATATTGTATTTTCACAAGTCTCTGATCGTCATGCCACAGTCTTTAAGGAGCCTCTGCCTACGCTGCTTATTTTACAATCTAGAGGCGCCAGCGGGATCAGCCTGCTTACTTCTTATCCAGCTGCTTATTAACAAGCGTAGAATGACTTATTTTTATTTAAAAGATAACACTAGGGAATGGTCGGCTCACTCCTTCTCAGTTAGGGCCATTTACTACCCAGCGTAGAACAACGGTCTGAGAGATGCGATAAAAAGCAACAGAAATGAAATGAAAAAAATAGGAACGAAATATGAATAATACCTGTAAGAAAGTGGTCGGTCATTGCTCTCCACAGCTTTCTATCACTCGCAGCCATTAGTAGCGTTTCTCCCGTTCCGCCTTCGATTCACACAAGCTCGTCAAAAGGGTTAAGTCTTCCAATTCCTCGTTCTTCGTTATGCATCCAAGAAAATTCAGCGTCCTCTTTCCGATTCTGAGAATGCGTTCTTTTGATGCCATTTTCTTTAAGAATTTCTTGTTGCTTACTCTTTCCGTCAACAGAATTCTCAGTATCTGTCTATATTTCTGAGATGAGGTATTATGTACACTATTTACATTATTCGGACTATTGTCCTCATCTTTGTCGCCATATTTATTACAACGTTTCGGCCGTTGTACGCTCCGGCCTTCTTCAGGTAGTTGGAATGTCGAGCTGAACCCTTTATTTCGCTCACTGAGGTACACTGTTCTAGTTCCATCGGCCATGTTTAATGGATGTCAGCTATCAATTATCTCCTGTTAATTCCCCTCTCCAAGTTCTCCACAGCCTTAAAAGAGTATTGAACTCACACTCTTTGAGTTCTGTCACTGGATCTAACCAACGCCTTTATCCACTGTGCCATGTGTCCTAGAGGTTAAGGTATTGGAGAACATGGCACGTGGAACTAGAACAGTCTACCCCAGTGAGCGAAATAAAGGGTTCAGTTCGACATTCCAACCACCTGAAGAAGGCCGGAACGTACAACGGCCGAAACGTTGTAATAAATATGGCGACAAGGATGAGGACAATAGTCCGAATAATGTAAATAGTGTAGAATTCTCAGTATCCTTCTGTAGAACCATATTTCTGTTGCCCCCTGTTTTTTCTTCATCTGTGGGGAGATTGTCAAATATTTGACAGTCATACAAAATATTGATATCACATAACAATTCAGCACTCTTTTCATTGTTTCCACTAAACTGAAGAAAATTACTTGTATATATGTTCGTTGTTTATGTAAACTCTGATATCACAGGTAGGATTTATTAAAAATATTTTCATTCATTCCACTGCCCCCAATAGTGATACAGCAATTTATGGCGGTTAGTGAAAAAAAAAAAGCAAATGCAAATAAATTTTGTATTTTAGTGCTGACTATATTTGAACTTAGTGTAATGACAAAAGTACTCAGATGTAGGCTTTAAGAAAGCTTTATTCAGTTAATACAAGGTTCGCGTATAGTGTCCTTTTATAGTCCCAGTAAACAGAAATAGTTCCCTCAAAGAGTAGAGTAACAAAACAAGAGGAGACCACGCTTGATTATTCATAACAGTATGTTTAAGCAATGCTTAATGTTTATTATAGCTACAGCCACTCCACCATTCTATCGCTTAAGTTTAGCAACTTTCTAAACAATTTAAAAGAAAGAAATTTACTGATTATTTGGACTGAAGTAAAGATCTCACTATTTCTAAAGTGTAATGTTCTACAAAGTTGCATTTAGCAATTTTCCGCATTATGTCTGTATGCTGTGTATAAAAAAAATAAAATGGATTCTCAGTGGCTATAACGATTCTTTTTCCTCTCAAATCACGTGCATTTCACTGAGGATTATGAGATCACGACTCTCGGGGTCGCGGCCATGGTTTCCGTAGCTAGTCATCATGCCCAACCTTGTTTTGTGGCCAGTGTTCCCAAGCGGTTCCCTATCTAGGTACTGAACGGGCTCGACGCTGCTTAATTTCGGTGATCAAATGGGAACCGCTGTTTCGACGCGATTTGACCGTAATGCCAAACTAGGGTTATTTATATGCACAATATGACTGCTTTCTTTTTGAGATTCTCGGACAACTCCACTCGTTAATTCTTTATTCATACTACTTGGAATCCTTAACTCAAGCGATTGAACAGAATATATAAGTGTTACTGAATAATGTATTTGCTAACCTTACAGAACCAGTCATGTATTGGGTTACGTTGGCAATCGGTTATAAATTTATAAAAACTTTGAACTCCCGTCATTAACTATACAAAGCGTCTTTAAAATTGACTGGTGATGACAGCCAGTTCAGCGGTCAACATGACTCGTCAAATAATGCAAACAATGGTAAGAAAACATTGAACTTAATGGGAAGTGATTACAACAGTAAGTTAAACAATTGGTAACATGGTTCAATGATAGAGCCACAAAGTATGAATTTCTATTCTGTCTTACAAAGTAATGAGCTATCAATCGGTTTCATGTAAGTGTCACTCTGCGTATATGATATATAAAGTTGTGACATGGCGAGATGGTTAAATGGTTGCGTATTTCCTACCATAGTCAGTGGTCGGTGTTCGAGAGCAGGTATAAAGCCAATTCAATTTTCATCAAGACAATTATCTGTTAAAAATACGCGTCATTTTATTCTTTAAAAACTGTTTTTGGGTTTTTTTTTTAATGTTCTTCTTAGTTTAGCTTTTAAAATATTTAAATTATATATAGAGGCGGACAGAGTCTAAAAATATTGCTTGCCAGGAGACAGTGGGCCCGCCTGTAACTATAACGCTATCATTTAATTTCCATAACAAATAAATACAATTTTCAAAAGATACATATTGAAAAGGGTACAGGTAACATTCTTGTGGAAAAATGTGTATTTCTTAATAATTACAATGTACATATTATTAGCAATAAATACCAAATATAAATAGAGAATGTTATAATTGAAATTTTTAACGTATTTTAAAAATTTAAAGTAATTGGCTGATATTTTTAAATATTTTACTTTACAATTTCCAAATTAACAGATAATTTAAAAGCACGCTTTCCTGAGTATGATGATAAACTACACCCAGCAGCAAGGCCTCTGATCGGAAGTTTTTAAGGAGAGTAGAACCCCCTTTTAATTGTTGTTCGCAGGTCTACCCTGACCAGGTGTGGTAGTATCTGTTAGGTTCCCAACTATGGGCAAATAGTGTTTTAACTCCAGTTTGGGGGTTCACTATGAAAGTATAGAAATAGATTTTTATAGTAAAAATAACATTTTTGAAAAAAAAATATTACCAGCTTCTTACAAAGAATACATATTCTATTCATACGAATCTATTCTAAAAATTTCTTATTGGCATTAAATCACCCATCGAGGTTGATATGTTTATTATAGTGTATTATATGCAGTTCACTATATTAAGAGCAAATGTTTGTATTCACTAGATGATTGTTCGAATCTGCTGATAATTGCTTTTATATCCAATTCATCTAACAATTCCTTTTTACTGGATAGGAAAATGTATGATTCGAAGTTCTCCTCAGACAGAATTTAATCTTGTCTTTACGATCTTTAGCTTTGAAAAAATCCTCACATTGGACTTTACTTTAGTAACTGATAGTATGCAGATGACTTTATATTAAAGTTCTTATTCCTCTTTATTACTAAAACATTTGTCTGAATTTCTTTCTTTATTGGATTTTATTTTATACAGAGTTTCACTTCCAGTCTACTAATATAACTTTATAGATAACACATGCATACAAGTAGAGATTAATATCTCTATTCTAAATATAAGTTATATAAAACATTATATAAGGCAGTAGTCATATTATATTAGAAAGAATTGACACGGAATGCCTGTTAAATGTCTCGGTGAGTTTGGCCTGGTGTTGAATAAGTCGTAAGATGTTGAGTGGAAACTTTTCATATAAAATACGATTATGAGGGTATTTTTTTTTTTCCGGGTGGAGTAATTTCGAAAAACGTCTAAAATGCTCAGTGAGACATTGAAAGCAATGGGTAACAATACCCGAAGTGATTGCGTAGAAAGAAACTATGGAAATTAGTTGTACGGGTAAGTAATCATTTTCATAAATGAATTCGTTTGGGTAACGTCTCGTATAGCTACATAGATAAATAAATAGAAAGAGAGCTAGATAGATATAAAGAAATATATCGTAAGATAAGTAGATAGCTACAAAGAAAGAAAAATGATAAATAGATAGATAGAAAAGATAAAAAAGAGAAATAGAACGATAGAAAGAATGATAGAAAGAAAGAAAAGAGAAATAGAAAGAACGATAGAAAGAAAAGAGAAATAGAAAGAACGATAGAAAGAAAGAAAGAAAAGAGAAATAGAAAGAACGATAGAAAGAAAGAAAGAAAAGAGAAATAGAAAGAACGATAGAAAGAAAGAAAAGAGAAATAGAAAGAACGATAGAAAGAAAGAAAAGAGAAATAGAAAGAACGATAGAAAGAAAAGAGAAATAGAAAGAACGATAGAAAGAAAAGAGAAATAGAACGATAGGAAAAACGACACAGATAAAAGTAAAACGAAGGAAGAACGATAGATAGAAAGAACTAGACTAGATAGGAAAATACTCGTACAACTTAATTCCGATTGTCTTTCTTTTTCCTTTCTCTTTCATAACAATTATTCAGCGTTAAAGACTGGAAAAGTAACAAAAGTTTTCAAATGATAAACGCTAACATGTTTAACAAGACAGCAAAATCGCAAGTAATTTGAACAGTATTGTCGTGTGAAATTCTTTAAATCAATGTTTCTAGGTTTTACGGCACTTTTTTTAATGTGTGTGTGAAATGAACTTATTCAATGTGTTGGTAACTTCAGATTTAATCTTTTTTTTCCCCTCCTTTCTATTTTCTTCGTGTGTTCTCTTCTGCTTTCGTCTTATCACCCTCCCCACCGCCATCCATCAAACATCGACTTCCACCAACCCACCTACTGCCGCCACCTGTCTCTGCTCCAACTGCTCTCGCACTTCTTTTGCACGTGTAACTAACAAACCACGGATCCAGTGTCCTCAGTTCATACAGAATCATGTAGTAATGTGCAAATGTTTTGGTGCGTGTGGATATCCGTCCAATAAATTTTACCAGCACACGGCACGTACTCAGCAAATTTTAAATCTCAGGTAAATGTTTCCTTTTTATTTTCTTCGTTTTAGTTTTCATTGAAAAGCCTCAAAGGTTATACTGATTGTTGAACCCTTTTTTTTTTTTCTTATTCCATTGAAGGTCAAGTTTTATTTTATTTGTAGATTTAACTCGTAACATTTTTTTTTCTAATGTTACTGTTTTTACTTGTTCCTCTCTAGGTAATATCATACTTTTTAGGGTTACAAATACGCACAAAAAATATTTTAAAATTGTGGAAATAATCCCAGGAGGCTAAGTAGTTAAACTCTCCACTTTCAAATATACTTTGAAGTTTTAAAATAAGCAGTTTTTAAAGTCGTTTTCCTTGTTTCTTACTAGTTCCGTTTCGTTTTGACACTTTTCAGTTGTTCCTCTTTTTACTACTGCTACTGTCACGACAATACCGGATTGATTCAGTCGTGGCTCATACGTTAAAGACGTTACGTCTTTAACTAGTTCATTCTGACTTGAGCAGAAAAGTTATGTTGAACAAGGCGTTCTTCTTGTCTCATACCAATGACATTTTTTATGCTTTCTCTCACTCTTTCTTTATCCATCTCTAAGCCTCTCCTTTTTCTTCGTTTAACTTTCCTCACCTCTCTCCCTCTCTCTCTCTCTCTCTCTCTCTCTCTCCCTCTCTCTCTCTCCCTCTCTCTCTCTCCCTCTCTCTCTCTCCCTCTCTCTCTCTCTCTCCCTCCCCCTCTCTCTCTCCCTCTCTCTCTCTCTCCTCTCTCTCTCCCTCTCTCTCTCTCCCCTCTCTCTCTCCCTCTCCCTCTCTCCCTCTCTCTCTCTCCCTCTCTCTCCCTCTCTCTCTCTCTCCTCTCTCTCTCTCTCTCTCTCTCTCTCTCTCTCTCTCTCTCTCCTCTCTCTCTCCCTCTCTCCCTCTCTCTCTCTCTCTCTCTCTCCCTCTCTCTCTCTCTCTCCCTCTCTCTCTCTCTCCACCTTCCACTCTTCTTTCTCCTCTGACTACTACTGCACTGCTCATCTTGCAAAGACGTACATTTGTGAACCAATGAAATTTGATGATCGTTCGGAAGATACGATTTGAAAACATAGTCGCTATTATTTCTAACCTTTAAGAATTTAAAACCTTATCTTTTTGCTAACATTACTTAGTTTTAGGAAAATCTATGACAAAGTGGGAAAAAGATTTCAGGTGACGCGTTTCGTCCTTTACGACTTTATCGGACTAAAAAGTGATGTTTACGTTATACATGCACATGAAGGAGAGGAACGTTGAAATTTAAAATTTTAATTTTTTTTAATGTGTTTTGGATATATATATTTAATTTATTTATTTTTTTCTTTTTGTTTGTTTTTTTATCACTTTTGTTATTAAATACGCCACATTGTAATAAGAAATCTGCCAAAAAAGGAATGTTTTAAAAACCCGAATGCAAATTTATTGTTGATGGTCTAGCAATTAAAGCACTTTCTATACATTTTCGTCTTAGTAAATTGCTTTCTCTTTTAATTAAAGTAATATTATTTAAATCAAAATTATGGTCACTCATTACGGTGAGCAACTAATTGATTGAGTGTTTTGCAAAAGATCTATTTTTCTACTCATATAATCGTTTATTTAAATTCTTTGAGGTTCCTCCTCTTTATTTCTAGTGACTGTTATTCCAGGTGATAATAAATTTCTCCAAGTTTTAGCTTATTCTTTTGTTTTTTTATTAAGTCTTTTATTGTTTTATAAGTTTTAGCAAATTTTATGTTAAGCTACATAAATTCTTTACAATTGTAGTTTTGATAGAGTTAGTGGGTAGAACAACATATTTCGATTCGGTGAGTTTGTCAAAATGGTTCACTCTTTAGTTTGAAATATTTTACGAAATTTTTGTTTCACACTGAATATGAAATAATTTCGGT